GTACTACGTACGTAGTATACTATATACGTAGTACGTATATATATAGTATAGTACTAGTATATATATATATATATATATATATATATATATATATATATATATATCCATACAAAGGTATTTCGGTAATTTGTACCATCTATCTGGGACTCGATATATATCGTTGCAATTGGGGGTTCATTAAAAGTTAAGGGTTAAGGGCAAAACGTAAATCTCTTTGAAATTAGATAAAAAAAAAATAGAGAGGCATGAGGAAGAAAGCGAATTGTAATCCTATTCTCCATTGCCAATAAAGAAGCTCTAATCTCCCGTGGACGTAGGCACGTGCCGAACTACGTGTATCTTTCCTTTGTGGTTGGTTGTCTCTTTCTTTTATGTTTGTTTCTTCTTTCTTGTTTTTCGTAGATTGTTTTTCGTTTCTTCAACTTGGTATCAGAGACTACAAGGTTATTCCGCATTCTGGGGTTTGCTACCACGATGACAGGAAAGGGCTCAAGCGTCAAGTATGACATTAAGAGGTTCAATGAAAGAACAATTTCACCCTTTGACGACGAAGGATGAAGGATCTTTTGATACATCAGGGTCTGGTTAAGGCTTTGCTAGGGAAATCGAAGAAACCAGCAAAGATGGACGATGAAGAGTGGCAAGAGATGGAGGAAAAGGCGGTAAGTGCGATTCGGCTGAATCTCTCAGATGACGCCTTACGTTATGTGGTGGATCTCGAAATTGCTCCGAAAGTTTGGACAAAACTCAAGAGTATCTACATGACGAAATCTCTGACGAACAAGTTGTTCTTGAAGAAACAGTTGTATTCTCTTCAGATGGAAGAAGGCACAGATCTACTTGGACATCTCAGTGAGTTCAACCAGATCATAAGCCAGTTAGCAAGCCTTGAGGTCAAAATCGAGGATGAAGACAATGCCCTACTTCTGTTGGCTTCACTTCCAAGATCATACGATCATCTGGTTACGACTCTACTGTACGGGAAGGAGACTCTTGAGACAGACGAATTCACTGCTACTCTTATGTCAAACAAAACAAGGAAGAATAATAGTATTAAATCTCAAGGAGAAGGTTTCTTTGGAAAACACAAAGAGAGTCATGAAAGGGGTAGATTAAATCAAAGGAGGTCTGGAAGCAGAAGTCGATCAAAATAGAAAAAGAAGGGCAAGTTTATTTGCTATTACTGCAAAAAAGAAGGTCATATGAACAGAGACTGGCCGAAAAGAAAGGAGGATATAAAGATGATAGAAATAAGAAAAACATCTGATGAAGCTAGCGTGGCCAATAGCTCTAACAGAGATGATGGAGATCTTCTCTCTATATCTTCAAGTAAGAATCAATTTAATGATTCTTGGATTTTAGATTCTGGTTGTTCTTTTCATATGTGTCCAAATAGAAACTGGTTCGAAACCTACAAATCATATAGTGGTAGGTCTGTTCTAATGGGGAACGATGCAGTATGCAAGACCATTGGAATAGGAACTATCAAATCAAGCTGGTTGATGGGATAGTACGAACCTTATCAGATGTGAGGCATGTCCCACAATTAAAGAAAAACTTAATATCTCTGGGGGCTCTTGATTTGAATGGTTGTAAGTATACAGCAACAGGTGGAGTCCTCAAAGTTAGTAAGGGATCTATGGTTGTCATGAAAGGTCAAATGACTGGGAACCTATACCGATTGAGAGGGAATACAGTTACTGGTAGAGCTTCTGTAACCACAGATGTTGAGTCTAACACAGATAACACAAATCTGTGGCATATGAGTTTAGGGCATATGAGTGAACGAGGTATGATGGAACTTCATAAAAGAAAATTGTTGAAAGGTGTCAAAGCCTGTAAATTGGATTTCTGTAAGTACTGTGTTTTCGATAAACAGTGCAAGATTAGATTCAAAACTATAATTCATACGAGCAAGGATATACTAGACTATGTACACACTGATGTATGGGGGCCTTCACCAATCAAATCCAAGGGTGGGGCAGAATACTTCATTACCTTCATTGACGATAACTCAAGAAAGGTCTGAGTCTACTTCATGAAACACAAAAGTGAAGCATTCACGAAGTTTAAACAATGGAAAGCAGAGGTAGAAAGGAAGACAGAAAAGAAACTGAAATGCTTGAAATCAGATAATGGAGGGGAGTACAAGTCTAGAGAATTTCAAGAATTCTGTAAAGAAGAGGAGATTGTACGTCACTTTATCACACCAGAAACTCCTCAGCAAAATAGTATGGCTAAGAGGATGAACAGGACTCTTTTGGAAAGAGCTCGTAATATGAGATTGAATGCAGATTTGAAGAAACGTTTCTGGGCAGAAGCAGTTGACATGGCCTGTTTCATCGTTAATAGGTCACCATCTACAGCGATTGATTGCAAAATTCTAGATATGTGGACAGGAAAGCTGGTAGATTACTCTATGCTGAGGATCTTCGGATATCCAGCCTATGTCCATGTGTAAAGTGGGAAACGTTTCAAATTAAACTCTAAGTTTAAGCAATGCATCTTTCTTGGTTTTGAGAAGGGAGTGAAGGGATTCAAGCTTTGGGATCCTACTTCACATAAAGTTGTGCTTAGCAGGGATGTTGTGTTTGATGAATCTCACATGGTGAAGTCAATCAACATGCAAGATGACAAAGTGCAAGTAGATGAAAATGATGAAGAAAGATCGACAGTCCAGGTGAAGCTAGAAAAGTCCGAAACACCAGAAGAGGAAGAATCATCCAGCAGCATACCGGAACAGCAACAATCACATGGTGAACCCTACAGTTTGGCAAAAGGTAGAAAGAAGCGTGTTCACAAGGCCCCTGTGAGATACGGCTTTGAGGGCATGGTAGCTTTTGCTCTAACTGTTGGTACTGAGGAAATTGACTCCTTCAAAGATGTTCTAAGTGATGCAAAGAGTGATAAATAGATGACAGCCATGATGGAGGAGATGGAGTCTCTGAAAAAGAACAAGACTTGGGAGCTTGTCAAGGGGCCCAAGGGAAGAAAAGTGATTGGATGCAATGGATCTTTTGAAAGAAAGAGATAGCAACAGAAAAGGAACATGAGAGATTCAAGGCTAAGCTCGTAGCAAAGGGCTACGCTCAGAAGGAGGGAGTAGACTACAATGAAATATTCTCTCCGGTTGTCAAGCACACTTTAATAAGGTTATTACTTGCTTTAACAGCCATATTTGATTTAGAGCTAGAATAGATTGACGTGAAGTTAACGTTTCTTCATGGTGATTTGGAGGAACAAATCTTTATGGAGCTACCTGAAGGCTTCAAAGTGCATGGAAAAGAAGATCAAGTTTGCTTGCTCAAGAGATCGCTTTATGGTCTTAAGCAATCTCCCAGGCAATGATACAAGTGTTTCGACTCTTTCATGGTACGGATTGGCTTTTCAAGAAAGGAGTATGATTGTTGTATTTATTTTAAAGTTCTTGATGATAATTCCCTTATTCTCTTGATGCTTTATGTTAACGACATGATCATCGCTGCCAAGAATGCATGTAACATAATTTCTCTCAAGTCTATGTTAAGTTTTGAGTTTGATATGAAGGATCTAGGGGCTGCTAATAGGATCCTTGGTATGGAGATTCATAGAGATAGAAGTGCAAGTAAACTCTGGGTAACTTAGAAAAGGTATGTTGAAATGGTGTTGGAGCATTTCAACATGGAAAAGGCCAAGTCAGTTAGCACTCCATTGGTGAGTCACTTCAAGTTATCGGAACGGCAGTGTCCCACTACGGATGAGGAGATAGAGCAAATGTCTCTAGTGCCTTATGCTAGCGCAGTCGAAAGCCTCATGTATGCTATGGTTTGTAGCAGGCCGGATTTATCTCATACTGTCAGTGTTGTCAGTCGATACATGAG